TTTAAGAAAGCTGCAGTTTGGATTTTGATCAGTGTATTCTGTATTTTGAATAGTCAAGCTCGTCACTTTTAGTATTCTTTGGGAAAAGAGTTATTTAATCTTAGTTTATGGGTGTTATTGTTATACTACAAGTCATCTCCATTTCTAAGAACTTCCTTAAATTTTAAAGTCCTCGAGAGTATTAAAAAAAATTCTTAATGGTCCAGACTGGCTGTGGTTTTTTTTTTTTTTTCTGCAGAACAAGGCTAATGAAAGAGAAGGTACGAATGTAAAGCTGTTTGAATGTCTTAATGCCTTATCCACTCCTACTGCTGCTCTTCATTCTATATGAGCCCTTTCCATCCAAATGAATTACATACGATAATTTGGGGTGTTATAATAAACAGATAGGCATCATAATAATGTATTTCGGTTAGGAAGAGGTACTTGGAAGAAATTGGTTTTGCAATACACATGATGTGAGACAATCAATAGTGCTTTAGTCTGACAAGCACTGTCAATATCCATTGTCACAGTTCAGAAAGTCATTAATGGATAGTTCTTCAGAAACCAATGCTTTCAACATGTTAGAAGTGTTCAGATATACCATACCTGGCAGGAATTAATCATAGGTAAGCCCTTGGGATTATGTATAAATGTTTTGTAAATTAAGAGTGAAATAAAAGTCATTGGAAGGAATGCGAGATCATGTTATATGGAGTTACAAAATCTTGCCAGTAAAATATGGAGCTGTTTAGAACATATTAAAACATTTTACTTTCTGAATCATTCAGGCTCTGCCCAGAATATCACACCCAGGAAAAACAGTCTGCTACAAATATATTGTCTAGGTACATGGCTAAATTCACAGAAAGTAATCACATAAAAATTTTGATCCTTGCCCTCAAAAGGTTAGAGCCTTGCCTGTTTTTCTTCAGTTGTGTCCATGCCAAAACCCTGGAGAAAGGCTTTTGTAACTTTACCTTGCATATATGTTAGCCACTGCTTAAACCTGCTTAAATTATGGTATGTTCACTCCCATTGCATCCTGTATACAAATTAGTGCATTAAATTATAGCAAGTAATTCTTCATCCGTACATCTCAAAATTTCCATTGAAGTACGATTTCTGCAGAACTGTGTGATTTGGAGGTAATGCGTTAATTCTTTCCTTCCACCTGTCCTCTTGTGTAAAAACTTTTGTACAGACTTTATTTTGTACATGATAATCCTGTTATTTATATGTTATTAGAAAAACAAAGGCTAAAATTGTGGCATTGAATAAGTCTTCAGACGATTTATACAGGCCGTAAAAAAGACAGGTCAGTTTTTTCTTGGTGTTTTTTTTTCCTCCAGGAGAATTTAGCCTATAGTTATCCTTCTTAATTCAGCTGATGTTATCACAGTGCTAGCCAACATTAAGGGCCAAAGATGTGTTCTTTCTTTCATGCTTAATGATGTGTTTATACTATTTTCTTTTCGTACCCAATCTGTATTAAACTTGTGTAATGTGATAAGCTGTTGTGATTTCATGTATCTTAATTCTAGAGCAAATTGTCCGGGGAAAAGATCTTGCCGTTTTTTTCTTTTGTCTCTTCATACCTTTCCCACCTGTGGAATAGAGACCTAATAAAGTGACCAAAGTAATCAGAAATGCTTTTTTAGATCTGAGGGTGCAACTTTACTTCCAGCCAAACGTGAATGTCAGTCAGTATTCAGGTTACGGTTTTGCTACTGGATTGAAGTGTCTTTGCGCCCACTTGCACTAGCAGAACAAATTTAACATAATACTTGGCTTTGTTGGGTTCCCCCCTACATGTACTATGAAAGGCCCTGGCCCAACAAGAGCAAGCATGTGTTTCCTTTTTCTGCCTCAGAAGCTCTGAGTGCAATATAAGAAATACTTAATTGAACAATCTGTTGAAAGGGAGGGGATTTATCCTTCTGTTCTGTGTTGGTTTTGAAGCATGTACGTGGATATGTCAGTGTAAGTAGCTTCAGAAGCTGAGGATATGAGTTTATTCACTACAATGAATCAAATGGCACACTTATGCAGTTTATGCCAGGGAACATATAGTAGAACAAGCAATAGATTTTATTTCTGATTATTTTATATTTAGGTCCTTAAGTGTCCTATTTTACTTCTGTGTGGAACTGCTTTCCACTTTTTTTTGTTGTTTGAGTTTTGCCAGCTCTCTTTCATGGAGAGTTCTTCTGGCCAAATCCAGAACCTGAAATTTAAAAAAGAAGGTCCTCCAAAAAATATTTATTGTGGCTTTTGAGTTTTATAACTACTTTTTCTTTTTTCTCTTGGAAGTAATATTTGGTCCTCTTTGTATTTCCAAATATATTAGCAAAGTCATTTTAATGTGGGGATATCGCGAGAAGAATGGTTTGGCAGGAGAAGGAATATTTCTAAATGAGATCCCAACAAGAATATTTCTGACTAAGCTTGGTTTTGGATCATGGTATCTAAACCCTTGAATTTCTGGGAGGCTTGGAGTTTCCCTTTGGTGACTCACGCATGTTTAACAGAAAAAAATAAGAAATTCATCAAAATTAGCTTTGCTGCTGTTTTTAACTATATGCTGTACAACTCAACATGAAACATACAAAAGTATCCACAACAGTATTTATTCCTACTTCTATATGTAGTTTTAACACCATAATTGCTGTTTCAGGTATAAAACTTCCAGCTGGGTTAATGCATCTTTCTAAACAGAGGGATCTTTACCCTGCTGTCAAGTCGTAGATCCCCTATCCTATAATTCACGGTATGACCACGTTCACTTCAGATAAGAGTATCTTAACAAATCTGGTGCATACTCAGAGCTAAGCATGTAGTTCAAGTGGGCACAAAACGCTTCACAATCCCACAGAATGGGAAATGTGGCAGGCATCTTAAGTGACTTAAGAGAGATTTTCACTCCTGCATCATTTGCACTGGGGAAGCTTCACTGTAAATCAGGAAACCCCAAACTTAAATATGAATTGCTAAGGACAGAACAACCCAAAGCAACAAGAGAGTCCCCAGACTATACCATTTACTTCTCTGTTTCAAAGTACCATTAGAAACATCCAGTTGTTGTTCTTTTTATAGCGCAGCCAAGTGACTTGGAATTTTAGCTTGTCCCTGCCAAGGATTGCTCAATTTTGAACAGAAAGTCCTCCACTATAATGTTAAAAAAGCACCAACCATCAATTGAATGCTAATCTTTATATTCTATGATACATCACTCCAAGAATGCTACCATTAAAAAATGTGAATTCTATTTTTCATAAGTGATGGATTATCGTACCAAGCTGTGTATTTTCCAGTAAAGTGTCCTTTTATTTGTCCTGTGTGATTACTAGCTTGTGGAAGTATGTGTGGGGTCATTTTAGTGCTGTGGGAAAATGGAGCACTCTTCTGTTAAAATCAGTAGTGAAATCAGAAGCAAACTATGCTCTGATCATCATAGGCATGTGTTTAAATATTGCTTTCCTTAATTGGCTATGTTCTATTTACTTAAAATGAACAATTTGGCAAGTTTTTTTCCCTTGACAACAGCAAAGCGTAAACCATTTTATAAGTTTGGCTGTTAAAATCAGATTTGTAATGTAAACCACAATATTCCAGGGTTGTTACTGTTGCTTAACCAGTTATTTTAGCTTGCCATTGTTTTATAATTGTGCACCTTTAAACATTCTTGTTCTGTTTATAATTTATGCAAAACTTCTTGCTACAAAATAGCCCAATAATATTGATCATAATTTTCTTTCTGTACTCTCTCTTCCCTTGGATCCTCTGTATGAAGATCACTGTGTTATAGCAGAGATTCAGTCTGGAGGGGGAGTTTAAGGAGCATCTCTGCAACTACAGCTAAATTATTCAGGGTACTATTTAGAGATTCTGTCGAAGGGACAATGGACCAACTCCTGCGAGTTCATCTTGTGGAGAATACTGTGTTTTGGTGGATAGATTGATTGATTAATTGATTGATTGATTGACTGGTTTTCAAGAGAGGGTGGAAAGCTATTCTTTCCTCAGAAAGCAGAAGCCACCCCTCTCTCAGCTGGAGGTCCTTGCCAGGGAAGGCTGTGCAATGCCGGCTGCCCCATTAACCTGCTCAGCATTTGAAGGAATGGGCAGGGTGAGAGAGCCTAGGACTCAGGACAAGGGTTATTCAAGGGTGGTGAGGCTCAGGTGACTTGTTAGAAAACTTTAAAAATATGCTTGTTCAGGGAAACCTTTGGAGAAGGTCTTCGTATGGTGTTGCTGCTGCTTCTGGAGCCTGTTGAGTTTCTCCTTCTTACTAATACTGTCTATTTTGATAGCTGTAATGATGCCCTGTAAGCACCTCAGCAGAGAAAAAGTTAAATTTATGCCTTTGAAACTTCCTCCAGGGGATTTTCTGCAGCTGGGTTCTATGTCTTTTTGACACAGAGCAGGAATAAATTGAGCTCAAAATGTTTCTCAGTTTGGTAAATGCCTAAATATAATAAAATATAATCATTAGGATGGGAATACTTTTCTTTCCATAAATTAATGCATCTTGCACACATTTCATGGCATATAGCCATGTTTTCTATAACTGCATTAAATATATATATAACGCTTAATCCATCTTGGCAAGAGAATTCAGTCCTTCACTAGTGGTGTAACCATCTATCCTTTCTCATAACAAGTAGTGTATAGCTAATAGTGCATAGCACACTTTTGAGTCCAGAGTTTTACTTGAAAAATCATCCATGTGAAACTTGTGGGATTCGTGAACATTTCATGAGTAAACTGGTTGCCATCCAAATACTTATGGGCAATAAATAATACAACTCTGTGAATAACCAGCAGAATGAACTCATCATGTTTATTCACAAAAGTATTAATCAGATGTTTTGTACTATCCAACCAGCTACACTGCTGACCTACCGCATGATTTTACTAGGGAGGCTGTGGCCATTATTTTGTAAGGACATTTGAACAAACTACTATTAGTTTAAAAATATCGTTTCACTGAAGCTTTTTCTTTTGATTTCCTTTAGTTTTCAGACTGAACTACAGTGCCTCTGATACAAATGACAGAAACCGAGTTAAAAGCAGATTAAAGAAGTTCATCTCCCGAAGACCTTCCTTGAAAACATTGCAAGAAAAGGGACTTATTAAAGGTGTGTTCGGTCTTATGTACTTTTTTGGAGTAAAAACTAAAAATTCACAAATGAATTTTTCATTCTCAGTTAAAGGAGTAAGTGCATTGGACAAATACTTCTTAGATATGGTTTTGTTGCTGTATCTTGTAAAACTTACACTGCTGAACTGTAAAGAAAAAAATCAACATGTGGTTACATCTGTCTCTGTACTATCTGGTTACTGCTTCAATTTTTCTGCTTTGGTGTGTATGTGGTAGAAACCCCTCCATTTAACACAGGCACTCACCATGCACATTGCAAATCAACACGTTGCACAACTCCATTTCTTTTTAAGAAAAGAATGTTGATAGAGTTTTATATTTTAGAATCCGAAATAGGAACTTCAGATGCTGTGCTGACTAATTTGTTTTCAAGGGCAGGCTGGAATACTTTCTGCTGTCTTCTCTCATTATTTTTCTAACTCGCCAACAAAATACATTTTTAACAATTTAAAATACGTGCCAGTGAAGAATAAATGCTTTGAATCTGTGATTTTTTCCTACTCCAATCTCTTGCTAAGTTGGTCAGCCAGCACTTTCACATATCCTTAAAAAATTGTTTCTTTGATAAAAAGTGTTTTTTAGCTTGTCCAAGAAGTGTTTTACTACGAAGCTGGTAGTTGACTTGAAGGCAGTAGCATTCTGACCGGTAACAATCAGGCAAAGCCAGGTTTTCAAATATTATCTGGAATAATGCTTTAAAAATTTACGCACTCCCAAATTATTATGTGTGAAACCCACAACTGCACATGCAAATTGACTAGAAAGAGGCATTTTGCCAGCAGCCTCTGTCAATCTCTGGAGTGTGAGTTTTCCAGTGGTGTGTCAAAAATGGCAAGGGGTGTTGCTAGTTTGAATTAAACTTGTCTGTCCTGAGCCAAGAGATTGACCCCAGCCAGCAAAAGCTAAAGCAGTCACAAGAGTTAAACACCAGCTGGGCCCACGTCTGAAGAGAAGGAGAAGATTTTACTAATTCAGTTTTTATGTTTTAGATACATGCAGTAATGTTCAGTGCAATGTTGCTTACTGTAAGGAAGTCTTCATCATATGAAATCATTACACGCGTTAGTGATGGGGTTCTGCTTCTAACTGCCACAGAAACTTAAAAAAAATGTCATTTATACATAAATATATGTGTGAGGTGTTCACACTCACACACCGAACTTTCAGGATCTGTCCTTAAACATTCATAATATCTGATTTCAATACATTGGAGGGTTTTGCCTCTTTGAAGTATTCTATGGGCTGAGGGTGGGATTTGAATGCATCATGTTAGTTGTTTCAGTTATTACAGTAATAGAGGAGTAATTTATAGTCTTTTAATTTCTGGATTTAAAGGGGGTTTTTTTTAGTGTAATAAAGTGTGGCTGATGAATCTCCTGCGGTGTTACACAGGGATCAGATGTGATCCCTACTAACAAATCCAGATTCATTAGCATAACTCAAATCCATCCTCTAATGTATCTCTCTAGGAAAGCCAGATGAATTTGGTTTTGGCTACAGTTGCATTAACCTCTTGATTGATAAACATAGCTTGCTTCTACCTGGGCTACTCTTCCATGGCTAACAATGATGCATGATTTCTGACACAGAAATTCAGAATCGGTACCCAGCACAGTTTTATTACCAAACTAATGTTACCATGAAGAAAACATGTTAGTTTTCTACCATGAAGTTTCATTAGGATTAGGTTTTGGCCATGCAAATGAGGCAGGATTCGTTAGCACGGCTTAATTCCAATCTACGGTAAGTCTATGTGAAATGCTCATTTGATAAGGTTCCTTCATTGTCTTTGCCAGAGTTTATCCCTTAATCTGTTAAAACGTTATGAAAATGCAGTTGCAGTGCTTATACAGAGACCACTTTTAAATGTTAATTTTTAGGCTCACATTAGAATATTTTTAAATCACAAAATGCAACCATCCAGATTAAAAATGAAAAGCTTGCCAAATTTTGATGCATCTATTTATTTTTCTAAAGGTGACTTAAATGGTTGCAGAAACCTCTCAAAACTATTTATTTGCTCGTTTCTTAAGGGAAAAAATGTTAACCAATTTTTACAAGAAAAAATTCCTCCAGCTCTGAGAACATGCATGCTAACTTTTATCCCATAGGGAAATACTTCTGTCAGAATTGTAAATCCCTTAAAATAGGGGCTCGTAATAAAAGTGTGTCTAAAGCCTTGCAGGACATCTTGGTACCGAATTTCTGACAAAGAGCTGTTCTGTGTTCTAGTGAAGAATTGATATAAATATCTGTGAAGCGTGTGGTGTTAATTACTCCAATGCAGTGGCACTGTAGGTGCTGTGAAAACCTTCACTTTTCATCAAGTGCTATTCATATTTGCCAGGGGCACTATAAAGCTCTCAAATCTATATTGATTTTTACATTGTATGTCACACTGGAACCAAAACTCCAATAAATTTAACACGTAAATTATAGTCATGAGTAAATACATTTTAAGGTGGTAAGTTCACTTAAACACAGTTCTGTGCTCTGTTAGTCACTGATGTGTACACACTTGGCCAGGAGACTTGACACATTTCTCCACGTTAACCAAATTTGGGAATACAGGCTTCAAAATTACATAGCAGTTTGATCTCCTGGGGTACTTTGTTCTGCCAAAACTGTTATCAGAAAATCTAGAAATTGTTTGATTGTCATTTAACTCTTAACAAAACTTTTTTTATGTAGAACGTAGCAAATGTCCATGTAGTAAATAAAGTAGGTCATTAACACATGAGAAGAATGAGAAGTAGGAGGATAATAATCAGACAAGGGAACGTAGCAGACCAATGTGTAAATGTTAGTTGCATGTTGATCTGAAAATGAAGACGGGCCGACGCTTTACATGACAAAAAGTTATTTTTGTCATCGCTGTCCCATTTGCTTTCTAGTCCTCTGCATAAAAGAAGCCAGAATGGGAACAGCATATTGGCTCCATTCATTGTGATGGGCTGGTGACTGCGGCTTTTCATGCTCCAGCGAGAGCTCTAACGAAGGGTGTCAGCCCTTCTCGTTCCATCTCACTCATGCTTACACAAAGTATCTTTGGTCTAGAAGCATTCTGAGCTGTTTTTGAGATGACGTGTAATACAGTATATTTGTGTAATGTGTACGTCTCTATATGCACACTTATGTTCATATAAATGCACACATGCATGCAAACCTAGAAATAGTAAATAAGAGGCATGTTCCTTGTCTGCCATTTTAACAGTGTTATTTCGAGAATAACTGTGTTCAAATTTATATGCTAGGGCAGAGGTCCTCAGTTCCTCGGGATTGAAATATTCTCAGAATTTACAGAATCTGCACTAATATGCTAGAAAAATAATATATAAATCTTCTGGTTTAAAGCTACTTTATAGTCTATAATTGAACTTTGATCTTTATGTTTGAGCTTTGTCATGATTTAATATTACCCAAAATGAATTGCCAACCTTCAACTTGATATTGGCCTGCTAACTTCCTGAATTCTGAGCCTTTCTAGTCCACAAAAAAAAGATGTTTCTGTGAAACTCTGATATTAAAGCTACGGTGGTTGTGTTGGTTATAGAGTATCACAAAATACACTTTCAGTAAATGGTAAAAAAGCATGAGTAACAACATAAATGACACTGTGGTAAATTAGGAAAATGCAGCTATGCAGCTGGCAAAAAATTAATCCAGTTTCTTTGGGGGTGTATTTTTTTTTCCCAAAAGTTAGACACCAAAGGAACTTCATTGAATTGATTTCATAAGTTAAGGCAAAAACCAAAACAGCATAAAAATTGGAATGCTTACAACTGTTTCAAGATGAAAATAAAAGCCACTCAATTGCTAGTGAAAGGAACTAGCTGTGATTTGGCTTGATAGCCTATAGAACAGGGCTCAGCATATGTTGGTGGTTGTGCATATAGCAGCACAGAGATCACCAACCATTTTATTTCCAGACCAGGGAAAACATCTTCATTGTCTCATGTGTCTCAATGGACCTTGGAGTAGTTCAATGTAATGAGTGTGATGTTCGTGAGAAGTCCAAAAGAGTAGATTAAGATCTCCCTTTGGTGTGTTCTATAATTCTTCTGGGTTATGCAGGAATTTAGCAGGTGATCTGGTGCCCTCAATAACTTAGGGAAAGTTACGAAACATTTCCTTTGACTTGCAGGGACAGTGGGTCACAAAGGTTTTTCCTTCTTTCTTTGACCACTGCATGGACATTTGGAAGTACCTTTCCCAAACCCTGTGGATGGCCAAACACCAGACAAAGTGATTTTTACCTTTGACATGACGGTCAGAAATAATTCAGATAATTTCAAAACATCTCATTTTTGGAGACCTGTTTTGAGAAGTACAGCAGGCTTACTCTCTTTGAATTCAGATGAGCTATTGTCTCCAGTAAAACACCATAATTTCTTATGTGTCTATAGTACTGTCTATTTTCCCTTTTCTGAGAATATGAAACAAATCTGGTAACTCATATGCCACTTAATAGTAACTGTTCACAAATGTAACCTTTTTTTTTTTTAATTGATGACCACCACAGATCAACGATATATAGTAAATCTCCAAGTTAAAAGGACTGGCAAGATTCCCAGCTAGCATAAATCAGGGGAGCTCCATTGACAACCTCGATGACTTCAGTCAGCTGAGGACCTGGCCCACTTATTGTAAAAGCGTCGTGGCATTATTTGGAGCCCCAGTCTGGGATCAGCATCATTTTAATGTCTGACTTAGGATGTCTGACTCTACAGATTGAGCAGCTAGAAGAGATCACCTTTCAGAATATGGCTCTTTCCAACTATATCTCTTTCCCCTCCAAAAATTCGCCACTGTGGTGCCTGCTGTTCTGTCCCTCTCTCCGTACATTCCTCTCTTATTTTGCTTTTTCATTCTCTTTCCTCCTTTTCTGTCCCAACATTCAGATACCAAGAAAACAAACAACTTAGATGTTGATACAAAGCTCTGGGAGTCCAGAAGTTCAAGTCCAGATGGAGCGGGGATTACTCTGTTCGTGGAAAGCACTGAATTTTATAGGTATAATTCACATTTCTAAAAACTTGGGCATTACACCATTATACCTTCTCTTCTCATGTCAGAATTTGAGCCTCTCCCTGAGAAATGGGAATATTAGCCATGCCCTTCTCTGTTTCTTTAATAAAAAACACTGAAGTACGAGTTCCTTCCAAGTGTGGCCACATCTCATCTGTGTACACCAAAACCAGTTAAACAATGACATTCTCACTGAGGATGTGGCTTTAGTGATTTTGTTTTAATTGTTTCTTTTCCAGAAGTATTGTCTTCCATAGACTAGATTTCTGCAGCTCAGAATTAGTGGCTTTGCTGCAGCCTGCAAGAGCTACTCAAAAAAAGTAGCTCTGTCAGGCTCAGGGAAAACTTCAAGCTCACCAGAATGAGCAATTCATCGCAGCTGTAATCATCATTTTATATTATACAACTTGCGAATGTCCGTTCCCTCCTTTTCTGGTGTCTCATTTTATATCCATGTGCAAAGCTGTCACACACCCCACCATCTTAAATAGAAAGTTTAATGCGCAGATATCAGGGATGTGTAATGTAAACCATACCACCAAACATATTATGAATATATTGCTCTTCTTAAAAATGCTTGTTGGTTTTTCATACTACAGTATTGACTAACTGTCTGTGTTTGATGTATGGTTTACCAGCCTGATGTAGACTTATGGTTAGAGCTTAACTTGTTAGTTCTGCTTTTGCAGCCAATTCAGAATAACTACAGATGCCCCAAGATATTAAAATTGACTGCTCAAATGGACTCAGTGTGGGAGTTTCATTGGTTTTAAATTGATAACAGCTGAAAGAGTGAATGATTAAAGCTGTATATGGGCATAGTATGCAGCTCCTTTGTACAGGCTCTTGTGAACAGAATCCACTGTATGGGAATTGCCTTTGTTCTAATAAAAGATATTTCTGAACAATTGTTAGTTTAAATTTTTAAATGATGAAACAAGAGCATTTCAGGAGCCTATAGAGGAAATAATTCCTGAGAAACTGGAATAACTCTGGGAAGATAAAGTGGATTTCTATTCAGAAGGGAGCATTTAAAGTTAAGTAGCATTCCATAAGGTGGTAATTGTGTCTATTTCCCAGGCATTTGAGTTAAATAAGCTGGGTAGGAAACATAAACTGTCATAACAGGAGGTTAGGAGTGTTGTGTACATCTTTTTTTTTCAAGTCATAAATAATGAAGTTTTGAAGGGCCTTATCACAAATAAATCAAACAAAGGCTTTTTTGCTTCTTTTATCCCTTTGGGAGCAGTTCTTATTTTTTGAAAAAATGTCCTACATGTCCCCTTAAACTAGTTTTAGTACACCTATAAAAGAATAAGAAAATAATATTTTAATCTCAGTTACATGTAAATCTAGCTTACAAACATTAGTCATTTACCATTCTTATAATTCCTTGTTTTCAAAATACTGCACAAAAAAAATCTTAACTGAGTTTTCCTCAACTATCCCTGTGAGCTGTAAGAGTGTAAGTATGGCAATGTAACTACTGCCATTCCCATGTTTATGTACAGAAACAGATCCAGCAAAAAACCAATTGACTAGAGAGAGTCATGGAGTTTGCGATTCCGGAGAACCCAGAATTCTGAGTATTTGGATGACCATGAGATCATGTGCTTATAAATACTCATGAATTTCTAGAAGAGGGAAAAAAAAAATCTGAAGCAGTTGTGTGTTGTTGTTTTACCATAGTCTCTTTTGATGCCCAGCAGCTATTAATGCTGATTTGCTGCCTCTTTCATTCAAGACAAAAATCCCGTGTCTATTTTTGAAAGAAGAGGTGTTTTAAAGCTTAACTGCAGGATACAGAATGTGACTGTATCCGTATACCAAAAGGTATTTAAAATGACGTTAGACATTTTGCTGAAGATACAGAACCTGCAGCTGGAAAAGAAGTAATGGACTAGGTGAGAATTGCAAAACAGTTTCCAGCCTTTTCAAAATTTCCTTCCAGGAATACCAAGTATTCTGCATTCATACTGGGAATTGAAAGAGTAACTGCAAAATAATCCTGGAAGTTGGTTATAATAGAGAAGAGAAGCTGCTGAACACCCATGCATTTTTGTTTCATGTACCGCCATCTAAACACAGTGCAGTTCTCTGCCTGTTTTCCTTCTGAAATTGTTTACAAGTGTCTTTTTGCCCACAAAATAAGATACATTTTTACTTCTTTTTAACATAATTGACATTAGAGACCATTCCATATTATGCAAAGAATTTGACAGGTCTTTGCTAAAATTTTAAAAAACAATTAAGATGTCAAAAGAGGAAGTGCTAGTACATTTTAATCATAAATCTCTGTATATATAATTACCACTGAAGGCAGCTATAAATGTTTTATGAAGAAAATGTAACCAGACTGTGCTTTGTCAGAAACATAACCCCAAAACATGTAACAGACTGTTCGCTAATGCTTAACGCCACACATGCACACAACCTTCTTCAGTGTAGTTCTGTGAACCCAGTCCTCCATCCCTTCTGCAGCCGAAACTCCGACTAACTTAAATTCAGGCTTTGATGTACTCTACCAGAATGCAGATCACATGCATTGGGAGGTGCTGGAATACACTTGATACGTATCAAGAAGTTCAAGCCATCCCATGCACCCCATCTTGTTTCCCTGGTTGTTCGCTACTCTGGGGTATTAGGAAAGAAAAGGCAATTGAGTTGTTGTTGAAACCTAAGCTTAGTAAGAAATACTAGTGATTAATGATAGGAAAGCAAAGCACAAAATAAACAAATGGGGTTTTGCCTGTTAGTGAGAAAAAAAGTACACTGTTTGGAGGAAGAAGCACTCAAACTGATGATGGTGGAAGATGGTGGGACTAACTACGGAGGAAATACCCAGTGCCATGGGAGCTGTAGAGGAGAGCAGGAGCTCCCGCTGTTCTGCGAGTGAGCGTGCTTGTTGGTTTTGCTGTGCAGAGCCCAGGCTTGTGCTAGCACCCTTCAGCTATCTACAAAAATTTCCAAAGCCTCTATGCTGATTTTCAAAATGTAGTACTCTGATGAAATGCTATATGGAGACTGTCTCTTTGGATAAATGACGGTAGTACACTCCTATTGTTTGAGCATTTAACTGTCTCCTATTGAGTAGTTTCTCTCATCTGTTTGATTCATTTTGATTCTAGCTGACATCCCCATTACCGATTGCTCTTTTCATAATTTCTCCAACATACAGAGTGGAAATGAGGTGGAGGAAGCTAATCAGTAACCTGAAGGGTTTAACCTGCTGATATAAATATGTTTCAAGATCAATATTAAAAATTGATCAAAAACTTTAAAATCATAAAAACTAAAAGGAAGCATTATCTAGTTAAATGTTTATTTATCAAAGAAACAACACAAATCACAAGTTAAACTTGGTGTAAGATGTAATCCTCATCAAAAGACATCTAGTACCTTCTATTTTCTAAACAGGCAAGTTGATGATAAAAAAAAAACCCTCTTGTAAAGATCAGATGAAATTGTACTAAATTCTAATGATGCAAAGTAATGAAGCCCTTGCACCCATACGGTACTCTAAGGAAAGACTGAAATTCCATATGCGTAGAAGAGACAGGCTATCCAACAATATGAGTTTCAAGGTTGGACTAACAGTTATTTTCATGTAGGATTTTTGATTCAACAAGATATGGAGCTGTATCTCTAGAATGGCCTTCACTTTTTTATGGCAAGTTCAAGCAAACTCCAGAGACCTCCAAGATTTAGAAAGGTCAAGGTCAAGGTGTAAATGGCAATTGAAACTTGAATCCAGGGGGAAGTATCCAAGCGCTACGGGCAGCATGTATTGAGAGATTTGGTTTGGTGGCAGAAGCTAATGACCACTAGGACTCAAAAAGGATTTGTTTCCAACTTTGTCTTCGATAGCTGAGATTTAATTAATATGCAAGCTCAGAAGAGAGAAAAATCCCACCACTAATAATATGCCTTAATGTATTTTCCTCTTTTTTTTCCAAATGTAGACCAAATTTTTGGCTCCCATTTGCACTTGGTCTGTGAGCATGAGAAATCTACAGTCCCCCAGTTTGTAAGACTGTGTATAAAAGCTGTTGAAAGAAGAGGTGAGTACCTTAATATTTAACACTAGTTTTTTTCTCTATTAGTAACCAAAACTTTAACCTTGTAATTCTGCTCGAATTACCAGGGTAGGCAGGCAGTTCAGTTTATAATATAGTTATGAACTAAACTATATCGCATTCTGTGTCTTCATTTTCCTTATATGATAAGACACTAATAGAGCCCATTCATGCTGATGATTCCTTGTATTTTGTCTGACATGTTGCTGGTTTAGTCTTTCTATGGATAAGCAAATGCTAAACTTCAATAAAATGTCAGTGACTTTCATTCTAAAGTCTCTGGTGAGTGCAGCACCAATACCTTTTCCTAAGTCCTGAATCATATTCAACGAAAATAAATGTTCTTTTAGTGTGACCATATTTTTTTAATGCGTGCAGGTGTCTAATTTTTACAGTTATTTTAAAAAGCAATCATATTGTAAGAATATTGGAATGAGTATTCATACTCATTAAAAGTTTTGATTAATAAGAAAGATTTTGTTAGTATAAAAAAGATGTACTTAACACCGTTGCCTGCCTTCCTTTCTGCAGAGTGTATCTTCTCTCATTGAAGGTCATTTTCTTTGGAAGGTACATGCGGTAGATGCAGAATCTTAAAATGTATTGTATAAAAATGTGAGGCTTCATCACCATCTGTTACAAGTTTACAACTTGTTCCAGGGATCTGGGGAAACATATATCTTACGAAAGATAGAAAATTTATTTTCAGAATAAGGCTGGGTGAACCCATTGTCACTGCCATATACTGGAGTCTCAGAACAAGAGAACCAATGAAAAATAAAAAGATACTTAGACCGTTAACCACAAAGGAAAAAGCTATTTTAATTCCATCATTGTTACCTGGTTTTATAGTGAAAGGTGTAATAAAACTACCCTGGAGTTTCAAACTCTGGGAAATTCATACTTTAATTATACAGCAAAGGGAGCACTGGGATATTATTATTCCCAGAATGATTGGCAGAGAGTCAGAGAGTAACAAACTGGAGATCGTTCGGTAGGGGGAGATAGTAGCATTGGTTTTTTGGAGGAAGGCTAGAGGCTGGGTAAAGAAAGAGACAAAGAAAGAGGAGAAATGTGTGAAGTGACTATTAATAGAAGAGGAATTGTGAGGAGAAATTCAGAACATGAAAAGGAAAGGCAGAGATTAGATTATAAAAATGCCACGCCATGCAGAACATGTCTAATTGACTGTTCGTTTATGATCTTAGCACAGGTTCTCCAAAAGATGCACTAGATATTTCATAGATGTTTTGTGGTATCTGACCACTCCTTCAGAAGAAGTGAGGCCAGAGGTCTCTGCACCGCTGAACTGTAACAGAAAAATCCAAGAAACCTAATTATATGTTTATTGTCTGTGTGATTATCAGAGAAATGTTCACAGAAGAAAATGAAAATATCGCTGTTTCTTCAAGGTTTATCCTTTGGAGCATCACGTTATTGTTCTTGTGTTTCCTTCAAACTTGCTGTGACTTAGAGAAGTCTACCCCTTTTAGTTAGTCGAATATGTAAATAAAAGCTAATCATATGGCATGAGATAAAAATTTCATTTTATCACTGTATTTATGAGTTTATATTTGATATACAGTTTTTTCTATTATCATTTTCTTGGATTAAGATGCTTGCATTTACTCACATTCTATTTACTCAAAGTGTTGTTTTTACTAAGTTCTGGCATAAACTATCTCAGGACAGCAGTAATTTATGTGAAGCTAAGTCCAATGTTTATGCAAGCTTCTGATGACATTTTATGCCGGGGTTGGTATTAGGAAGCGGTATGTGGAGGTGCCAAGTCTCCCGGCATGGCTGAGACTCAACAGATCTGAAGCCCTCCTCTTAATGGCCAGATATGCCTCCAGCCAAGATACTCAACTGCAGAGTCATGGGAAATACTTATGTACCAATTATGGGAAAGGCACATTTAATGAAAACTGTATGTTTACTTTCATAGTCTTAGTAAGATGGCCTAGATACTCAGTACAGCTGGCATATTGGCTGTTGCAGAAAAGCTTTTTTTCCTATTTAGAAAATGTATCATCCACGTACTGTAACTGTACCAAAAATGTTACTTGCATGCTTCATTTAAGATAAAGGATTATTAGGAAAAAAGACCTTAGGAGACTAACCCTAAAAGTTACTTACAAAACATTCATACTTTGCTGAATGGTTGTGTTCTTCTTTATTGGCTCATGGTTTTAATTATTATTTATCTATTGATTTTCCATTTGTTTTTCTGATTTTTAAAACCGTGCATAGAAAGAAAGTCTAGCAATGATCTGAATAAACCATATTAATTAGTACATTTTCCTGTGTAGATGAGGATACATAGAATAGCCAACTGTAGTAATACGCTCCCACAGATTAAAAATATAGAAGGTGTCATCAACTGTTGGCAAGATTTCCTGTTTAGTTACACTATTTTAAAATTAATATCTACATTGAAGTCAAAGGAATTACTCTGAAATTATTTTGCTGCAACTTAGGTCCGATTTTGGTCATTTCTCCCCTTTGCTACTGTTTGCTTATTCACCATTTCAGGACAGGGGTGCTTTATAAGGTCTGGTCTAAAAACTCTCACACCATAATGCATATTTATCTATCCGACCAGGATTCACTTGTTCAAGAGCAAATTCCATTTTTTCAGCCTCTCTTGGTATTTTTAGTTATTGAAATAGGACTGGGAAGCAGAAGGTCTTTCTACATTTACTAAGCCATCTTGCAGAGCTGGTAGTGGAGTTTAACAAAGACAGTCAATAAAAATGTGCCCATTCTTGTAAACTTGCAAGGCAATTGTCACATTTGATTTTTTTTTAAGCAAGCTCAGTTTTTTTCTTCATTCTGCCTGTACTATTTATTCATTCATAACTTTTTATGAGCTTCTTGTCCCAAGTATTTAGCTGTACAGACCTATGCCACTGAAGTCAATAGTATCTAGGCAAAGAGCGTTGTAGCCTTGGTATCTAAAGCAATATCCTAAATAGAAAAAAACTCCCATGTATATGGTGTCACCCGGTGAGGATAAGAGAATAATTCTGTACCGTGCAATTATCAGATTGAAGAAATACAGTGGCTACTCAACGATTTCTTGCATTTCTTCACTTTCTACTTTCTCAAGGACTTGGAGGGAAAGTTTTTCATGGAACAGTGTATTCCTTGTTTGTTCTGTGTAGTCTTTTACTTTACCATTAACACCTACCTTGGACATACCTCAGGCTTTTCTGGGGCTATCTGTTGACCTGCCTTTTTCAATCTGTATTCCATGCTTTTTCTTCTCCCCAGAAAGTGTCTGATAGGTAGCACCAACTCTGAGCTGAGCCGAGGAGCGAGGAAAGCCTGGGACAATCCTCCCAGAGTACTATAACTCACATGCTGTGCACTCCTGCCAAGGGTGGGGCCCTTTACAAGATTTTTGGTGTTTCTAGGCCAGATATTATTTCCAGTCATTTCTTGAGTCGCCTATTTATTTTGTTATCCATGACCCCTTAAAAGTCCTGGCTGTTTTTTTGCATTTTTTTTTTTAAATATGTGAAGGGCATGAGCAGAACGCATTAAAAAAAAAATAAAAATATCAGTCTGCATTGTACCTAAGCAAAATGCCATCCAGTACTTGTCATAATAATGTTTTATCGTGTGAAAACAATCTGATACTCAACTCTTTTCCAGGAATGATCATTTGTCTGTGTGTCTAATGACAGAGTAAATGAACACCCCGAGCAGTCAGTATCCTAAACCTTCTGAGGGTATCCAGTGTAGTTTACGTTTTGTAAAGAAACACAGTAGTAGTGCTCCAGGGAAATATAATTTAACTTTCATCTCTCCTTTGAAACATCCTTCATTTTGTCCATTCATTCCCAAATTCAAGTTAGTGTTCTCAAATCAGCCTAAATGACTTGAAAAATGACACTACAGGCAGCAAAGCTGATGATTACAGGTACCTTTCCATTCTAAACTGGACATTGCAGACATTGTTTTCTGTTGCTTTTCTTGGAGCACAGGATGCTCTGACAGGAATGATACACAAAATTACATATTTGATTCAATGCCTAAAAGCCACCCTGGGATCCATAACCTTGCTTAAAGATTTAAGAAAGACCTTTAGTCCACTTCTGAGAAGGTTCTTAGCTTAGAAAACTTTATCTTTCAACTTTACTTCTTAGCAGCTGTTATGTTTTTTTGCTGTCGTTTGTTTGACAGGATCCAGTTATAGGTTCCGATGTCTGTTTAAAGAAACAGGGAGGTTGTTGGCTTTAAAATTCCCTTACTGCTTGTGTGTTCAACATTTTCCCAGGCTTTTCTACATAGTTTGCCAAGTAAAGGGACTGACCTTTTGTAGCAAACACTTTTTCATTTCTAAATGCTCACTTTGATTTTTGTCCCATTTTATGCTCATTCCAAACTGTTTACAACCCACTAAAAATGACTGTGAATTATATGTTTGTGTAATGGATTCCTTTTGTGGTTGGAGTGGAATGTTTACTTTGAACAATTAGTTATCTTTGGGCAGATTATAGTGACCTGAAAAAAGAATGGCTAAAATTATTATAGTACCTTAACTATTTCCTTTAGTTATCTTCTCTGTTTGTCCAATGTATTATTTACTGGGTTTAGTTGCTCTGAGCCCCGGTGAACAAATCATCTTAAATAAGAGCAGCAACAAAAAATCTCTGAGTGTAGGGTTCTTAGGTTTGGGGGCTGATCTGCTGGGGTAGGACTGGGTACGCTAGCGAGACTTCAGAAGTGACCGTTAGGCACTTAGAGCCTGGGTGCGCAACTTTAAGAAGACGTGATTTTTAAAGAAGTTTTAGGCACTTGCTCTCTGAAAATTGGATTTCTCGTAGGTGTTTGACACCCCAAAGCACCTAAAATCAACACTCGGTTTGGTTTTAATGTCCATAGCTGCAATTTGCTTATGCATACCATCATTGTAGACATGCACACACACACACACAGAGTCTCATACCACAGGATATTCAGTGTTTAAGGAAGAA